TTAAAAAATGCTCATTCGAGCGGAGATGGTGTGGTGACAGGAGGGGCCACTGCCGCGCGTATGGTCTCTGGATCGAACCCAGCTCAAACCAAGCGCGCGCGACGCTGCCCGCCGTGTGAACGGCGTGACCTCATTAGCCGACGATTGAATTGACCGTCTCCCCGGTTCAAGGCATGGACATGTTTGCTTCTATTCAGCAGGGCTTTTCCAAGCCTTTGAAATCCGAGTTCGGTTCTTACCTCGTTTTCGTTTTATTCTCAGAGGCATGTAGATAGAAAAGAGCAGCAAAAGTAAATACAAACTTCAACTTTCACTTCATCGCAAAATTTATGTTCTTACCGGAACAAGCGGCTAGAAAATACTCCTGATATTTTGACGGTGCAAGCAAGAAAAATCTGCTTTTGTCCTGTCGCTACACTTCATTCGATCGGAATTACGAACGACTTGTTTGTCAGATCAGCTAAACAACTCCTTGGAAGGAGCTGTGAAGAAAAGAGCAATCCCTTATGGTGTTTACTGATTTGTTTTTATCGGCAATACAGCTAAATAAAATGTCAGAAGCAGTTTCAATTATATATCCAGGGAAGAGCAAAACAGTGAACACGACAACGGTGATCCAACACCGTCGTGGCTGTGACAGCGACCACTCTTTTGTTCATAACTCCGTTCAGAGATTCGTTTAAAACGAGGGAATGCGATAATTTGTGGGCAGCATGAAAGCACATGTACCAGCGCAATCAGGTCGAGGGACCCAGGTGTGGCGTTTTTGTAGCCTAAGGTGCGCTAGTTGCTGAACACTACACATGTCAATCCTTCCTGTGCTCTGCCTCCGCTTGTGCTCAGCCCAATGTATTCCACAGAACCATCGTTCGGTAATCATTTCAAAAAAGATGGTGGTTATCGGTTCAACACGTGCAAGCGACCCCTTGATTGCTTGCTCGTCTATCATCGGAGGTCCAGCGGGCGAGGAAAGGGTTGTCATTTTGCATGTTCTTGACGAATTTCTTTTCTTTTCCCGTCGCTGGAGCATTATTTGGCGTACCAATTTCCCTTATGGACCCAACTCAATCTTGTCGTGAAACCACGCTTTAACACCTTGACGAAAACGCGGCAACTATGTATGCCATGCCTATCATTAGGCTGGCAAGATTGGAATGTGCCTTTGTTTTTGAGAAACACAATCTCTCAAGGTAGGAGACCATTCGTTCGAGAGAGCGATTCAGCACGCATATATATTGCGAAATCTGAGGCGCCACTTAGCGGATTTTGCTCGAAGATGACTGATAATCGTCTGAACGTATACATTCAAGCCAAGAAACGGCTTGGACGAATCCAACTCTTGTGCGCAAACACTTTAAGTGTTAAACCCTTAGTCTCTGAACTTCCTGCTATGGTTTCAGCGCTTCCAGATGTAAAGGACCTGGCTACGAAGATCTTGGATTTTGACCTCTAGCTCTAGATGGCGGAGAAATTAAGAAAGACAGCGAACTGAATCCTCGACAAACCGCACAGAACTTGCATGGAAATCCAGTTCCTCGACAGAAAAATTTAAAGGTCTCTATATGCGACTGTTAAGGCACTTCAGGATAGAAAACAGATTCAGCCTATTGCCAGCGACGAGAGCAAGCAGTACTGGTTGCCATTACTGAAACTTAGCTCCATAACTTCGATAGGGAAATGGTTCTTGACTTTGCGTTGACTGCATTTTACAAAGAGATGTTTACGAATAACAACACGAGAAGATGACCGTGGTTGGCGGCTGATGGGCAGCACAGGGCCTCTCTAAACCGGACATCCATTGAGAAAAAGGCGTGCTGCGGTGTGGTGGAAAAGTATAAGAATGGCCTACTGTGGAGAGCTGATTGTGGGTTACACAGTTACAGCTGAAACCTGCGCACAACAGGCCGCTCGCGTGGAGCGAGCTGCATCGCCAAGGGGTGAGTTCAGCCAGTGTAAACTATTGCACCATAACGGAAGACCACATGTCGTGAAAATCACGCAACAAGAAATCGTGGAGTTGGGCTGGGACGCACAGCGGCCTGTTGTGCGCAGGTTTCAGCGCCTCATAGCCCAGGCCTGGTTCCGTGCGACTATCAATGATCCGGGTCAGCGCAACACTCCTTAGCAGCAAACCAATTCGATAATCGCGAAGAAGTCAAAATTTGAGTGCTCAACTTCTTCGAGTCGTACCAGAAAGAATTCTACGTAGTAGCCATCCACGCTTTGCGTAACGAAAGGTGATGAGCCTGGGATACAGGTGAAGGAGATGGTTCAGATTGATGTGCTTCATTAATGTTTTTACAAGGAAAATAATTGATGACCGTAGACTACATTTCAATCTGGCGAACCTAATACAATCTTTTTTTTCCTCGTATGCTCGACTCCTTCCCAAGTTTTGTTCGTTCTGTAGGCCACTCCTAGCCAAAAATCACGTGGCTTAGAGAATGGTCAAATATGCTTAAGTTTGGCAGACCTGACAAAAATATCCGTTCAATCCACTCCTCATTCTCTTTTCATTAATGTGAACTCGTAGATGAAAAAAGTAATAGAATCCAAAATAATTTCGGAACTACTAAAGCGAAAGTAAGTGGAATATTTCCTTCTTACAGACACAACACCTTATTTTGGTCTAACCTCCACTATTATAACTCCCGATACGTTGAGCACATTAAACATTAATGAAAACGCTCTGTCGCGTATAGTTTTTGCGTGTTCCATCTCAAAATCCACAATTATGGGGTGATGCCAAGGCGCCCGCGAAAATCGCAAAAAAAATCGCAAAAAATCGCAGTGCCACACGGCCAAAGAAACTAAAACGCGAGGTGTCGTCAAGGTGTTGTAGGCAGAATTTACGATGAAACCCATTTCAATCTAAGTTAAGAACCGTGAGAGGTTCAAAAAAGAAGGAAAAATTATGAGAAACGGCCCAGAATCTGAGAAATGGAATCCCTTCCTTTTCCACTGATTTTCGCGATGGTGCGACTCTCATCTTTGTGCCCTCCTCAACGCCAACGCTCGCTCTGCTATGTCGGTGGACGTACTGCGCCAATTGCGTCAGTCCGCACCCTCAGGAGGTCCGCCTGTCTCCCCACTAGGCAATTTTCAACTTCTCCGACATTCGTTCTCATCGTAGAATCCTCCTTTGAAGAGTGATTTCACGTTGAACACAGCCCATTGGAATTAAAGATGGTCAGTGGTGCACGTAGAAAAAAAAATACAGTAAAAACGGCTTAGAACCCGAGAAATAAGACCTCTTCATTGCCGATTGATTCCCGCATTGATGTGACTATCATCTTTCTGCCCTCTTCAGAACTAGCACTTTCTCTGCTAGACCCTTTCCGCAATCCTTTCCGTGTCGGTCAAAAAATGCGGCAGTCGAGTCGCCGCCCTTGGCGATACGGGCGTGCATCTAAACTAGCGTGAGAAGAAGCGCTCCATGCTACAAACGGACAGTCGATCAAGTTCAAAGGCGGAGTTCACGACGAAAAGCTCAAAGAGGAAAAGGAAAGAAGTAGAAAAGAGAGAGAAGAAAAAAAAACATGCAGACCGTCAAGATCCCAGAAGTAGACCATTTCCTCACCCGGTGATTTCCGCATTGATGCTACTTTCATCAGTGCTGCTCTCTGTTAAAGGACAGAGTCAAACGAGTATAGGCTAGCTATCGGAGGGTGTACAGAGGAGCCACTGACGGTAGAAAGAAAGAACAGAAAAGAGCCGATTGGTTTTGAAGAAGTGGACAGTTGTATTGATTCATGGGTTGGAGCGCATTGTTGCAGCTTCCAAGGCACCGCAGCTCTTGAGAATTTCCTCCTAATGGGTCCTCGCACTGATTATCATGGTTTTGTTTATAAAAATCCGTAAAGCTTACCCGAAGCACTAATGCAACATCATATCATAAATTTCCAATAACTCTCGCGAGCAATTTTCATTCACGAATATAACTCTGAGAGGCGGGCTAGGAGTTTGAAGAGATTTCCTGATTTTTCGGCTGCTCAGACGGTGAACTTCCTTGTGAAATTAATCACAGGACGTCCTAGAATCGCAACGTCGTGGAATACCTCTTATGCTCTCTCTTCCGTGCTTGCTTAGCTTGAACGCTAGGAAATTGTCCATTTGATGGATGATAACTTCCAATTTCATGCCTTATCATCGTCGCTTAACACATTGACGGCAACGCGCGTTTTGGCTTTTTTGCCCACGTGGGGCAGGGGCGCTTTTCCGAGCCGGTGACGCCACACCTAGCATCCGTAAATGACAAATGATAACTTTGGAAAGCGTCAAACGTACACAACAATTTTAGCCATGTTCAGTGCGTAGAAGCAATCAAAATATAGCGGCGCAATTTCGATCAAAAATGTTGAAATGGTAAAGAAAATGGGAATTTAAGTCCTTTTTTCTGTAGTGGATGCCAAAAAAAACTTTCGATGTGATTGTGTCAGGTGAAACACTAATTTTTCAATCCCTTTGAGTTTGTATTTAATTCTTCTACTCTTTTTATTGACAACTTCATTAGAACATAAAGAAAACGAGTTATGAACAGAGCTTCCAATTCCGCTGCTGCAAACTTCAAACTGCAAACTTCTGCTAAACTGAAACATGTTTGACCATACCGTGAGTCATGTCGTTCACATTATATTACATTGTGATTCACAGAATAAATACAAACAAATTGGGAAGAAGCCACGCATGCGCTAGAAAAGCTTTTTATCCAATTTCATGCTAACCGCAAACGTTCAAAAATTGAGCAGGTCTTCACCTTCACTTGGATAGCAAATGATTTTTTTCAAACTAATATGTAGCAAAAATAAATATGTTGAAATCGAGAAGTTTGCATAACTTCGTCCCACAATGTTTAAAATGGTGCAACATGTCACGCGCACCTAATTCTTCACCACCCTGTACAGAGTGTGAGCGTTCTAACTTCGAGAAAATGCTTTTCTGTCTGAATACTTATTCATATCGTAATATTGATTGAGAGACCTAAATAACAAGCTTTAGCAATGGCCAATAAATCGTCGAGCGAGTTCGATCTCCGAAGGAAGCTAGTGGTTGGATTGATGCACACAAAGAGCCCTCCAGCAACTCCAAGTTCACCAAAAACACCAACTTCGACCTCTTCTTCTCATGACCAGCGTGAGTTTCAATGGCATGTAACATTGAATACGATTCGCTTGTAGAGCGCTCAGTGGGCCATTTTTTCAGGTTGAAGGAGACCGTCGTATTTGTTTTTTAGTCTTTTTTTAAATAGCAACATTTCTAAGCGGTCAACCCTTTTTCCTCACCCTCTGTGGGAAACGTCTGGTCGTGGTTTTCATATTCTGCAAATTGTGGTGGCACAGAGAATCCAACGAATGGACCACAGTTATGGTGAAGACGAGTGAGCGCGGTCATAGTGACTTTTTCCGGATTTCTCTCTTCTCCTTTTCTCTGCACAACGTGATAGCATCAATGTAATTCTTTGTGAAACTGCATATTGAATAATGATTGACAAAAAGACTGGGCTATGAAAAAAATCTTACGTCCCAGTCTTGAGCCCACGCACCTCTCGCTTACCGGATGAGTGGCTACAAGTTACACTACCGGGGCAACGATTCGTCCCAACTCGACTTTTCATTGTGCATAGCTTCAGCACCCACACATATAAAATGGCTCAGGGAACTCCTAGGGCGAAACCTTTATACAATGCAGTATTCGTGTGAAATTTTCGCAAGTCGAACTACAGCCAGCTAATACTTTCAGCCTCGCGTTTTACTGCCGATGTGGGCTAAAGGCTCACCGCGATACGTATGAGTGCTGATCGGCCATGAAAAATACACCATGAAAAGCTGAGTTAAAGGCAAGATTCAAGCTTGAACTGATGAGGTAATTCTACTCAAAGTGATGTAGAGGTGGGAAGTGGACCGTCAGTGGAAGAAAAAGGAAAAAAATCCGTGAAATACGCAGGAAATGCGAGCCTTTTGCTCTACGTTGCGGCGAAGTTCAAAAGGCCGGCAGGGAGGTGAGAGATAATGTGAGCGCGGAGAGCGGTAGAGAAATCCGAGAAGAGAGGGCGCAGCAGCCCAGCATTGCGATGCGGACAAAATATCAAGCGGTAGGCGGAGCGTGTCGCAACAGGTGGAGCGTGCTAAAGTCCTAAGCCCCTAGCGCCTTAGTGACGCATTTCGATGCGGGATTTTGGCGAGTCGCCTGCAGTTGGCGTCCCACGCGCTTCTAGCCACTTTAAGGGCTCACTAGGTGGGTCTAAGCCCCAACTTTGCCTTTAAGGCGAAGCTGCCCCTGTAGGTAACTTTTAGCGCCTTTGCCCAGTAAATATCAGCCGCTCTCAGACCGGCTTGAGCACCTGTGTTGAATCCTGATCGATCAGTACGGAAAGAACAGCGGTCCTATCCTGGTCTACCAAAAAAGCTTGCTGTCCATCATGAAGCGATTGGGTATTACCTATCTAGGAGTTCAAACAAGGTCTGAGCTGAATAGGATTGCCCGTGTGCAAGCAGCCGTGTGGACAATAACCGAGGACGGCGAAAAATCACTGAAGATTGGTGAACGCATATCAAGTATACTGTAACTCTATAGAGTCACAAGTCTACGATACTCCGTGGAGAACGCCAAAACTCACTGAGCAGCCGTTCAACTTTCATTATAACACACTGCAATGTTTAAGTGCATCTCTCTACTATCCTTCTACTAATCCAGGGTGACGAATGTAAAATCACAGATGATTCTAACAGCAGAAGAGTTCACTGGAGGGACTACAGAAACCCGCCATTGGTTCTAAAATGATGTATTTTGGGCAGAGGATGCTTCACGGTGGCGCTTTTTAGCGGTTGGACATATGGTATGGAAGTAATAGCTGCACGGTCACCCAACCACTTTAGGCCCTTTCCACTCGATTCTGCTCACTGTCATGAATTCTGTGCATTAACATAAATTATAAAAAGGATAAAGCATTTGCCTTTGATCAATCCCTTTTTGGGATGCGGCACGCATTCTACTTCCATTTGTACATTCACAGTGGCTTTTGAATGCGATTTGGCCTATACAATGACTTGCGGGGGCCAGCCGATGTACAAGTCAGTGTTTTTCATCCTCCCAGTCAAGTCTGGTACCAACTAACCGACCCCGGCGGGATTGAAGGCTTGGTTGGCCCGGACGACTCACGACCCAGGATTTGATCCCCGGACCGCTCGCGTGCGCGCGAGCGCGCCACTTGTCACTTCACCACTTCCGCCCTGTGCATGAACATAGAAAGGTAAAATTATTCGAGAGCGAATTCTTTCCTCAACCACACAGTCATTGCCTCTCGATCTATACGCTATCGTGCACGCATATTCATGCCAGTCTTCCACGTCAGATTGGACTGCTAGAGGAAATATTGCACTTTTCAAGTGGTCCACATTTTCTCTTAACTTGTATCCAATGGGGAATCTTCAGGCCTTTGTTGTGCAGTAGATCTACGGCGAAGCGAGGCTTATATAGATCAATCGAAGAGCTAATCGTGGCATTTCTCCATAAATGGCGCTCGAATATGAAGAAATCTATCGATGGCTAGCTTGCTTGCAAGCCTCTC